CCTTCTGCCAATAACGACTGCCTCTGTCAGTGGAAGTCATGCTTAACAGTGACAATTAAATTAATTTAGGGCAGGAAGGGATCAAGTAGAGTTCTGTCATCAAATCAACAAGTTCAGAGATTTGAAGTTTTTCAAAATTATTAAATGGACCAACCCTGCATGACCAATCCTAAAAGAAAATCCCAAGTTTCAAGTCAAGGAGCTCGGCTATTCTCAGGTCGGGCTCAATCGCAACTCTCCGGTCTGTAAGTAACGAGGTTTTCTCATTTCCTTTTATTAAAACGGTGGAATTGGGGCTAATTAGCAAAGCCTCAGGGGCTTTCCTCTGAGAAATTAAAGCTTTCTGCTCGACTGATTGACCCCATGTGGTTCTTACTCCTGCATGGTATTGTTGCGGAACGTTTCTGCGTGATTTGCATTTTCAAAGGCCATGACCAAACTTTCACACCGGTTGATCCAATATGCTCCAGGTATTTACTTCAAAGATAGGATTGACAATTTGACATACCTGACAACCTTTCAAAGCAAATATTAGGAATCCCTCATGGGAAAATTAGGAATACAGTAATTTTGTATACCAAAATAGGAATGGTTGGCAGCTATGGAATAATATTGAGAATTTAAAGACAGTCAAACCTACTTTAGTGACTACCTGTCTACAAAGGCCACATTTGTTGCTTCCCTCGAAAATGGTTTCTCATTGAATCGTGTACTAAAGGAACCTGTCTACAAAGGCCACTTTTTGTGTTTCCCTTGGGTGGTCGCTACAGACAAGTTTGACTGTATCTATGTATCAGACCAACAGGACACCAAATTTGTATAGAGTACATACGTTTTCTTTTCCATATTTACGCCTACGTCTTAAACTAATCTTGCAATATCACAAGAATGAAGAAACGTCTGAAAAATTATTTGAAAATTCATATCGACATGACATGAATATTTCAGAAGTCCTCTGGGTTACAATCCCTGAATCGATACGACAGCATCTGTCAATACTGATGCCGAGAGTTGACGTAACCATGGTTATTCGACGTTCCATTCATTCAAGATGAGAGATGAGCACCCGTGAAAATGCGGGGTCTTAATCAGTACGTGAGTGCGATAATCTATTCGAGTCGAGATCGGATTCACGGGGGAAGATTTATCGGACGGGAGCAGGACAGCAGTCGTAGGGGAAGGGTCTCAGTTTTAACTGCCACCCTAATCAGGTTGAATCTACGTCAAGAGACTTGACGTTACCAGGGGCCAGTTCACACACAAATGTAGTGGATTTTTGAAATGATTTGCAAATCTCACTAGAGTGTGTGTGAACAAAGCTGAAATGTGACTAATTTATGAGGTTCTAATCACGATTCTGATTGTACTCATGGTGCATTTGGGTGAATAGTTCAGATAACTTGCTGCATGATTTTTATTTTAAACAAGAGCAGGCAGAAGAGGGCCCTTGGTTATAACCATGCAAAGTCAGCAGAAAAGAGATAAGGAAATGTTCTTTAACTGGTACAAAAAAGATCATATTTGAATAATTGCTAAATTTAACTTCTTTTCTCATGTGTGAATGCTCAATTTATCTTTTCTTGTGTGTGAATGCTCAATTTAACTTCTTTTCTCATGTGTGAATGCTCAATTTAACTTCTTTTCTCATGTGTGAATGCTCAATTTAACTACCATTACTCTTCTTGAGTGTGAATGCTCAATATAACTACTGTTACTCTTCTTGTGTGTGCATGAATGCTCAATTTAACTTCGTTTCTTGAGTATGAATGGCACCTTTAGAAACATCCTTGTTCACACTGGGTATAGAGCAGGACATAGGATATTGGCAAAGGGATTGCACATGAATATTTGGTGGAAATGAGATGCAGGTCCACTGCAAGAGCCATCAGTATCAGTTTGGGGAAATCATCTTGCCAATATCCTATCTGCTAATATAAATAGTTATATGTCAGTCTTTGTTAGATCTATAATTACAAAAATAATTCTAAAATTATCCTTACCAAATGTAGTTCAAGGTTTTATGTCTGAGATGACACTTGATTTTAATTTACAATTTCAAAAAGAGAAGAGTGTAGGTGGAGATTGTGCACACAGTGTGTGTTGGCAAGTATTGAATCCAATGGCCTGGGTAATAGTATATCTGTAAAGTGCTTATAACTTAGAGACATTTGTTGAGTGCTATATAAATTTTAATGTAGGCAACACGATACAATATATAAATAGCAAAGTACATCAACAAACAAATATATATAGCACCCGCCTTAATTCCCTCTCAATTTCAACTTTACATCGCCTCTTAATTGCAGACACCCTACATGCAAGTTTATTCAGTTGAAGGTTTCCATACTTGTAGCTGCTTTGAGGGGGAAGGGGGGGGGGGAGATACGTGGAGCTGTTGATGATTTTTCTTCTGGATGGGCGAAGTGGAAGAAAGAGGTCAACAACTTGCTACAGTATCTACATGTGCAGACTACAGACTATCCAATCACATCTAACCACTACTCGTGCTCCAAATTTCCTTTGCCACCGTATCTCTCTCTCTTCCTTTCCCTTCCGTGTTCAACTGAAACTCTAACCCCGCGTTCAGACTATAGGAAATTTATACCCGAAATCGTAGAAAGAAACGTAAAGAGAAACATCAGAAATCAAAAAGGAGCATTCAGATTAGAAAACAATACCGGATAAAGAAATGTTGTATAAAGTAACTAACTTCATACAAAGAGGTTAATTGATATATTGTAGATCGCTAATCATCAGAGAGCGCTCAGAGTAAGCCCCGCCCAGTTATAACGATTATGGTACGATATGACGATAAGACCAGAACATGGCCATGATTCTTTAGCGAGTCTTTGTTTGAAATGATGCTCATCAAATAAGCGTTTCGCTAAACGATGTTTCTTTATACGATACATTCTGGTAGTCTAAATAGGGGCTAACTCCATCTCTCTCTTCCTCTCTCTTCAATTTTGAGCTCTAAATCTTGACATTCATGCTAAGTCAGCACTGTAATGGAAGCCCCCACGAGAGGCAACATGAGCGATATTAGATTTGCCCCGGTGTTCGTTACAACATGATTCGAAGAGCTCTGCAAGTGGATGGATGCTGTAGGCTAGAGATAACCGTGTACAGAATTCTGTCAAGCATTTAGGGTATAATTGGGGGTAATTCTAAGAGGAAAACCACGGCTAAACTTGTCTTTTTCGCCGAAAAAACACCTCGGCCGAATTTAGTATCCACCAAATCTGTCAGAAATACACTTTTCTTGAGGACATATTGAAATGCATGTGACTTGTTTTAATGCTCTTTTATCCCCATAGAACCAGAGCAACTTGCTTTCAATCTTGGTCACTCAGAGACTAAATGTGGATATCAAATAGAACGCAGCACTCATTTCCTGCAGAAAATCTTTGATTTGCAATAATCAATTCTAGATTAGGCTTATGTAATTGATTCTAAATTCACTAATCCCATATCGTCAGATACAGATACATAAGCCTTCATGTCAAATTGAGAGTTTTTTTAAAAAAATTCTAGAGATCCAGTCATATTCAGTATATCAATATGCTCTAAACCATGAAAGAGCATTTCTTTTTTACAAAAGTGCATTATCAACATTTCATTCTGATAATGGTCTCTAATTTCAGCATTACATGCCTACTTGTTTATGTACAACAAGACTGTGAATGTAGTAGCCAATTTCCCCCACTCCATTCAGCTTGAGTTCCAGCTTCCAACAACTGCACAGATTTACAAAAGACAGATGCTTTCATTCTGCACCCATACCCGACAATCAACATTAGCTTTGCCCCCTATGCCCGCTCACAAAGCTGCATGTTCCTGTAAAATTATGCACACTTTAAACTGTCGCAGACTTCCTTAACAATTCCAGACGTTTTTATCGTTTGAGCGAATTACAAATAGAATTTCTATACTATCCTTTTTTTATCGGAAAAACTAACCAAGTTTGGTGATTCATCACTGCACTGAAACATTTTCTCTCTTGATCTTTCTCATGAATTCAAAAGAAAAGGGAGTGTTTTTCAAAGCTTCAGAAGTTCAGATCTTTCTTGCAAATCTTTACTTTGAGAAAAGCAGGGCAAAAGACGTTTATTGTTATTTCTATGTGGGGGAAAGATTTAATCTTTTTGTGGATGAAACCCGACCCGGTTGAAGCCCAGTACTTTACTCAATAAATACTAGCACAATGGTTGAAATGTACATTTTGATTTCAAAGTGCCCCTACAAATAAAGTGAATGCACTGTAGACTCAAACACACTTACAAGTTCAATGCTGGCATAATCAAATAGGTGAAAACTGCAAGTGTTTGATACACCTTGAATGATGATTTCTTTTGACTTTTATCCTAAATTGTTAACTTTTAAATATTTTTTCTGGTTATTTCAAGTACAATAGAGGTGCTAAAATCTCATGAAACTTTCAGTGTAATTTATTGATGAGCTATATTACTTGACTTAAGACTTTAAGTAAAAGTAAGTATAATTGTAGATACGCAATTAGAGATACAGTATCTGTGACTGTAATGTCCTATCTGAGAGAAACATTTGAATACCTACAATTTTTATTTTGATGTCGATATTAAATTTCAATTGGCACCATGACCCCCTAAATGGAGAAAAAGGAAAAGGGATAACATATCAGGATCAGCTCATATTTTTATCAATTCCCAATTCCATTGACACATTCAATAACAACAATCAATCAACAAGACAATCACAAACAACACAAATGGAAAATGAAAGACATATTCCACATCGAACAGACAACCATCCAAAACACAAAATAATAATAATAATCTTTTCAAAATGAACAAATCTTTGAATTTCATCTCGACTATTTTGCAAATGAAAATAATGCCTAACAGACATGAACAGACACTTTTTTTACCAAAATAATGAACAAAGATTTGTTCATTTTGAAAAGATATCCTGTAATTTGAAATCGAATCTAAGATCTCTGGAAATGAAAAGAGGGTCCTCTTACCTTTGATGTCAATTTTAAAGGGCATTCCCGGGGTCATAATGTCGTAGCTGCAGATCGTGGAAAATCCAGGCGAGCAGTCGTCGTCGACCGCTTGAATCTGGAGAAATTTATGAGGCACCGTGCCTTCTTCTACCGTCGCTTCGTACGAATTTTGTAAGAAGCGTGGCTTGTTATTATTTGGGTCGCGCATGACGATATGAACTTGCGCTCTGTGGAAAATGAATGCATAGAGACACATTTGAAATATTAAAATTCAATCCCACTTTAACATTAAGAAGGATCAAACTTTCCTGCAAGTTGACCAGTTTTAGCGAAATTTCATGCATGTGTTTAAAAAAAAAACAGTATTATCCTGTCTTCTTTTATAATTGTTATCTCATTAGCATTGTAAAGATTTCTTGATAGCTGCACCTATATTTGGTATGATATTAATTGGATGTAGCGTTTTCTAGTCATAGTCATTTTTTGCTTTCTTTCATCTTTGTAGCAGGGTTGGTAATGTTTTATATTTAAGACAAAATTGTGAATAAAATAAGATATTCAAATTAAATTGATCAACAGAATGTTCTAAAATCACTGACTTCAAATCAGTAATTTCTGATTTCTCTTTTTGCCCAACCTTTGATTCTAGTCATAAACTTCAAAATGAAATCTGAACTTGTCATCGCTATTTGGAATCCCTTTGTTTATCTCATCTATGCATGCCAGAGTGACAAAGGACTAAAGGGGATAATATCGATGGGCCTTCTCAAAATGAATGAATAAGACGTCCTGGAAAACATGACCTCAGCATCGATTCATAATATTCTAGTAGCAGATCTTTGAAGTATCATTCTAATTTCTTTGGAGTTGTTAAACAGTTTTATTTCATGATTTCCTTTTTCTTGAATTGACAGGCTTGCGCCATCATAACTTTTCTTCCTACGTCAAGCTGGAAGACAAACGATAACAATTCATTTGAACAGCAGATTTATCAATTGTTCTGAAAGAAATGCTGACGAACGGAGCAAGGACAGATGATGCACTTAAAGGATTTAAGTGTTTACAGTTAAAAACGACATAACGTCAGTGACTATCTAGACGATAATATCCGCTACTTAAGAACAAGCTATGACGTGAGATCAGAAACAAAGAAGCACTTAAGGGAATATTTTCTTTCCGTTTAACTTTATATCTAAACAACATTGATATGATACTCTATCTCTCATAATTCTTTGAATTTGAAGCCTTTTTTTAAATTTCGGAAATACCATTTGTATAAAGTCATAAATTTGTGGTTTTATGTGGGCAACCTGAAAAGGACTGTTGGGTTTGAAAAGTGATACAAAAAAGAAGTGCCCGTAAAATGGCCACTGGCCGGAATGCTCCCCAGGGAGTGGAGAATGTGCATTCATTGTGTGCGGGTAAGCCTGAATCCGATGATCGAGGTAATAATATATCTGTAGAGCGCTTTAATAAACACATCACTGTATCAATGTATTGGGCGCTATATAAAAGCGGAATATTATTATTATAAAAATGAAAATTTTAGACTTACGTTGGGGAGGGGAGAGAGGGCGTGCCGCAGTCGGACGCCTGAATATGAAATTTCCACTCCCTATTTTCGTCGCAGTCTTTGACCGCCGCGTTGATGGCGCCGCTGACCGCCTCGATGGTCCCTGCCCCGCCCGTCGCTCCGGCCTGCACGCTGGCAGTAAATGGTACGCTTTCTAAGATGTTAAAATGACAGATTTTTCCATTGGCGCCCTCGTCATGATCGTGGGCGACCAGGGCTGGGGGAAGCATCTCCAGCCTCCCGTGTTCGTTGATCTCCCCTCTGAAGATCTCGTCCTCCCAGAATGGCGCATGATTTGATGTGTCTGTAAAGAGGAGAACAACAAGCAAAATGGAAATTAATTCATCATTTATTTTATTTATTTATTTATCATTTATTCGGCACTTTCAAGAAATATGACAATAAAACAATATAATCATGGTGATTACAAAATTAGAATGACAAAAATTTGCTTTGAACATGTATTTATGATCAACAAAACTTCAAAAACATGCATAGGTTGTTGTAATGCAGAAGAATGATGCTATTTTTATATTTGGAATGTGCTTAGGTCATAATGGCCGTTGAGTACAGTGTATCTTTCTGTTTGCTGATTTTAAGGGACTAATTCATGTCTGCAGATTAAAAAGTATAACTATATTTTTAAGGTCTATGCATTCAAAATATGTTCAAGACAAGTTACATCTAGGATGAATTCACTTCACAAAATAACAAAGACAACAACAACAACAAAACCTAATGCAGAAGCCAGAAATACTACAGGATAAAACGCACATCAGGAAAAAAAAATCTGATATATCACTTTAAAACCCTTTTTTGATTGTGTCATACATTTCATGAACAGATCCATGAAACATAACACTATGGACCTGTGGACTTCTAACAACATAAAATGTTATTTATATATAATTTAAGATGGGTGCAACTGCAAGGTATATTTCAGCACTTGACACCCTAGAACAGTACTGTTTCTATAACCTGATATTCAAGAATGTTTTCTAGAAATCACGCTAAATGTAAAAAAAATATGCTACCTACAGCACAGACATTTCAAACATCATCATGTTCTCTGCTCAATGTGACTTCTTATTAAAGAAGGTGGGTCTCGTTGGTAATCGAATTACTGTCAGTAAACCTATCACGAGTCTCATAAAGGGAGACATTCAATTCAAGGCATGATTGGCGCTCCATTCACACTACCAAATAAATTGTATGGCTATACGATAAGTAATTTAATACAATACAACTTGTTTTTGCGACTCTTGTTTTTTAACACTAATAGATACAAACTCTTTCAAATGGCCAAAATATAAATATTTAAATTTATTCAGGTTCAGGTTTCAGACCATCAGTTTAAATATCAAACCAAAACAGAGACACCAATGAATGTATGATGGACAATAAACCTATAAATAAGATCTTATCTTTCTAAGTTCCTATGAGAGGTATCATATTTAATACATAGGTATACATTCCAGATTTGTTCTCCACTTGTTGTGTAAACAGGTATCGTTGAAAGAAGGAAAAAAAAAATGAAAATTTTCGAGTGAATCATTGTGTATGAAATACAATCCTGCCGATCATTTTACACTGACAATTTGATAAAGTCATTGCAAAATTTCGTTTTGAACGGAAGATATAAAATCATAGTTCACGGCAATCGTAGAATAGAAAGTGCATGTTTTTAAAAGTCATTATTATAAATAGTGTACGTGTGTAGGGGTATAAACAGGTACAAATCACTGGGTTTGGTAATTTTGCATCAAACACCCAAGTTTATATCTTGAAACTAAACATAAAAACATATCCTACATGTCTTCAAATGTTAATTTTACTAAAGACACCAAACTGCAATAACAGCAAAAGGTGAAATGTACTGTACATCAATTAACCATATTTATATTTGAGGGATGACATTTAATACTCTACAATGTAATTAAAACAGGTTTGTCCTGCTAGTATCTCCCTGCCATTTTAACAAAAAAAGACACGCAAGAGAAGAATATGACAGGCAATATCACTTCAGGAGATGCAATTGATCTCTATTTTTAATACTTTATTTTTTCTTGTGGAAAGGAATAGAGAACTGAATAAAAGTCAATACACTGTTTCATTATCATGGATACCTCGTTTGTTTTTCCTGGTACGATGATGAATTGGATTTGATACCGCACGAAGAGTCAACAACTTGTTTCATCATCGTGAGGGCCTTGCAATAAGCGACCTCTTCATCAAATGAGAATATTGATTTTAACTGTGAGAAGAGCAACACCGACGGATTAATCACGGAGTATGAATCATCTTTTCATCCTCTTCTCCTAGCGACACTAATTCTCTCATCATCACCCCTCCCCCCCCCACACACACACACTCACCACCACCATCATCATCCCTAGCACCTCCATGACCATCATCATCTGCCCCCTCCCCACCCACACACACTCTGTTCCTACCAACACCACTTCTCTCACCATCATCTCTCCCAACACACACACTCACCACTACCAGCACCCCTCCCCCCCCCCCCCCCCCCCGCCACGACCATCATCATTTGCCGCCTCCCCTCCTCCCACCCACACACCAACATTACCATCATCACCCCCTATCCTCCCTACCCTTACCATCTCTCAAACACATAGAACATTCTCATCATCCCCTAACCCCCCCCCCCCCACTAGCAGTTACCATCACCACCACCACCATCCTCACCCCTTCTATGACCATCATCATCTGCCCCCTCCCTACCCACACACAACACCAAAATTACCATCATCACCCCCTATCCTCCCTACCCTAACCATCTCTCAAACACATAGAACATTCTCCTCATCCCCTGACCCCCCCCCAACCAGCAAAGTTACCATCACCACCAACATCATCAAACACTCTCCCGATCCCCCCCCCCCCCTTCCCCCTCCAGCACCACTACCATCATCACACAATCATAATACGATCTCTGCACGTCTTCATCTCATTCTCTCTCTCTCTCTCTCTCTCTCTCTCTCTCTCTCTCTCGCTCTCTCTCTCTCTCACCATCCACACAGTATCAGTATTGTGATTGCTCTGATACACAAAGGCATTATATGCATTTCGCACACTGGCGCAAGGGGCTCTGCATCGTCATTTGCATGCATAATGAGAATTTAGTGCGGCTCACATACGCATACACAGGTATTTATTAGTGCGCTCATCTCATGTTATGCTTATATACAGTGTATACACCTATGCGATGGTATTCTAATCTACTCTACTTCATTATCTTGTGTATGTATACATGTACATGTAAGTGAGGCATTGCGTTTGCGTGGCTCTCATGAAATCTTTTCTGACAACAGTAATTAATCCTATTTGTAAAATACCTACTGGATGTCTGGGTAATTTTGTAGTGATATCAACAGTATCATCACTTCAGACATTATTTTCATTCATTAAGTGAAACATTGTATTTATCCTTCTACCTTTTCACTGAAACATTATCTGTTGCCATTCAATGATATACAATCAAATCACTGTTAAAAAACAAAAACAGAAATGTGACATTCTTTCAATTATATCTGCAACTGCAATGATATTTTCCATGATTTAAGTAGAAAAAATGGTATATCAAAACATTGATAAATAATGTTGAAATTAAAGATTGGAGGAATGTGAATGATGTCTATGCTTCAAGGCAGTATAAATCTAGAGTCTCAGCAAAGACTAGTGAACCGGCCTCCATCTTTGTTTGAGATGAGTCATCTCATATTATCTCCATGGAGGCCACTCTCTCTCTCTAGTCGCTCGCTTCATCCTCTAGCCATCACGCAATATTACTTTCTCCTGTCTCTACTCTGGATCAATTCATTTTCATCCTCTATAAATAATTTCATCTCTTACTCTCATAGAGTACACAAAGGCATCTCTCTCTCTTCCTCTCTCTCTCTCTCTCTTAATCTCCTGCTACTGTCTCTTAAAAACAGATCCTATATCTATCTTGCTCTCTTTTTGTTTTTATCCATCTCAATAAATAACATCTCTTTCCTTCTCATTATGTACATTTCTCTTCTTCCGTCCATCTTCCTTTCCCTCTTTCTCTTTCTTTCTTTCCCTCCCCGTCTCACTGTCTATCCCTTCTCTCTTCTTCCACTCTCTCTTTCTCTCTCTCTTTCTCATTCCCCCTTCCTCTCCCTCCTCCTCCCTCACATTCCATACACATAGATCCAACATGTGGGAGCCACCAGCAGTATTCCTCCACTCTCTCCCCTTCTAACCACTGATGGATATCCACAACCTTGCATGCCTCCCCCACATACATTATCCAAGTATGACCTCATCAATTTCACCTACACAGCTCTCTACATGGTGTACATTGGCGTACTGATAATACAGAGCTTCATACAGTTCTGTCTACAGCTCCCATGCATTGGCCTTATGAGATGTGTGCAGATGTACATTTGAGAATGGATGATAAAAGTATACAGAATGTATGGAAATATTTTCAACCTTAACACAGTCAAACCTGTCAATAGCGACTGCCCAAGGGTAAACACAAAAGTGGTCTTTGTAGACAAATTCCTTTAGTACATGTTTCAATGAGAAACCATTTTCAAAGGGAACCAATAATGTGGCCTTTGTAGACAGGTGGTCACTAAAGCAGGTTTGACTGTAGCTATATTCATCCCCTGATTATACTTATTACAATGTGAAAAGGAGGATAATTTGAGTGCTGTATCAGTATGTCTACATCTACCATAGATCACCTTCTTATCATATTATATACAAAGTTTAGTGTCATAGTTTTACCAGAGGTGAATCGCGCTCTTAATTTTGAGATTTGAAAAGAATTGTTGATATTACAACGTGAATAGTTGCATATTTTACAATGGAACATCTACATCTACTATAGATAGTTTTCTAAACCATTCAACAAGGAAATGTTACAAATATCAACAAATTGTGTCGACAACTTTACCAAAGACAACTTAAAAATGTCAGTTTCTCAATTTGAAAAAAAAAGGTGTTTGAAATATGGATAACAGGGCAATCTAATTGAAAACCACAAAGGTATATCTTCATCTACCATTGATAATTCGCAATGTTAACTAAATTGTTAAGCATTATATGATGAATAAGTGTCGGTTCCATAATTCGACATACACACCGTAATTGATAACGATGTGAATGGAGATATCATAACAATGTGAAAAAGACTATAGATTTTAGACCCCAAAAAGGTACCAGAAAATATGACAATGACTTGTTTTCATTTTATTGGCGTTATTATGAACCAACGAATCAGTTTAAATATTACAGCACGGATTCATTGTTCATGAAAACGCTAAAGGCAATAGTACAGTAG